GAATTCGTTGCTTTTTAAATTTATTCTTAATATCTAAGGGGCAGCTAGGTGAGAGAACTGAGTTCAAATCTACCCACAGATACTATGTGACCAAGAAGTCACTTAACTTCTCTGGGCCTCAGTTTCCTCATCTGTAAAATGGGGAAAACAACAGCACCTACCTCACAGTATTGTTGTGAGGATCAAGTGAGATAATATATGCAAAGTGCTTTCCAAACCTTAATAAATGCCAGCTATTATTTATCATTTGATCTAGTTTTTTAAACATTCCTCCATGTAAGCAGTTTGATTACAATGCCATGGCTACATAACAGGCAGCACTGAGAAGACACGGTGATAATTAGGGCTGTGGAGTCATGGACACCTGGGTCAAGTGTCATCTCCTACACATACTGACCGAGAACCCAGGCAAGTCTTTTACGCTCTCATTGTCCTTCAGTAAACCTACGTATTCTATGGCAGGAAGGAGGTTGGGACGGTGGGGTAGTGGCAAGGCAACTTTCAGCTAATTGCAAAGGGCTGTATGCCACGAGGCACCATGGCTTGGCTTAGCACCCCAGCATTACTCAGTGCTCCAAAGTCCTCTGGGTCTGACCGTGCAAACAACCAGGGACAAGGCCAGAACAGCGAAGGCCAGGTGGGGCCTTTTTTACTGTAAACTGTAAAACTGTGGCCCTGGGTCTCAAATCATCTGTTTCAGTTTCCTGCATTTCACGTGGAAGTGTGTCCAGAAACGAAACTCCCAGACTTTGAACCGCTTTACATGTACTTTCCAATTGATATTTTTTAATGAGAATCATCTTTACAAATGCCTTAATTAACCCCTGAGAGGAAATTGGCAGGCTTTCTCAAACAGAATTGGACAGCAGAACCCCCTTTACAGTCGAACAATGGACTAAAAAGTATAGAAAATACAAGTTCCCACTCTTCTTACCATTTTGATGACTGGAAAAATGCATTTAATTTGTTAGAACAAAATGCCACCTGAAAGGCTCCCCCTGCCCCATAAGCCATCACCTTGGCATATATAAAAAGTTTGCTGACTTGCACCGACAGATCCTACAGTTGACTAGAAATCGAATTTAGAGTTGAACAATAGGAAAAACTAGATATCCTTAAGGAAATTATAGTTTTAATGAACCCGTTTATAGCTGAAACAAAGGCCCATGCTTTTTGTAGAAAGTACACTTAGCCTTTCTATCACAGGGCTAAGAGGGCTCCATCTTCCCCAAAGGGTTCTAGCTCACTCTGAGGAATTGGGGAATCTCTTTTGTATTTAGCCTTTGGCTTGACCACCCCGCCCCAGCTATGTTCCCCCATTGTTAGGGGGCCAATGACTAATATCCCAGTTCCACTTAACTACCTAACATCAACTAGCTTTTACCAAAGGTTTGGTTGTTGTCCTTTGTTCTCTAAGGGGACCAAAATAACCTTGCTTTCTTGGGGTCAAGGTGCAGTGTGTCTGATTGTGGCCTCTCAGACCAACATGAATTTGGAAGGCTCTACCACAGGTCAGGCACAAATAGTTGGCAGGAACATTTGGAGTAGAGATATCTCTAAATTTGCACATCTCACGTTTCTTTTGAGCTACTACAGTTCTGCCATGCTCATAGGGCACAGCATCTTCTTTGATGCAGGCACATTTACTTCAAAGATATAGCAAAAACAAAGTATGTTATCCTTTCCACTTTGTAGGGGTTAGGGTGGCGTGGAGCCCTAGAAAATCCACATAAAATTTTTTGGCCTTCCCTTTGTATCAGAGAAGAAATCTGAATTTTTTCTTTTTCTTTTATGGGGTGTTTACAGTACCTTAAAAGAGAAAATATGTTAATATTATATAATATTGTACACATATTTTATGTATTTCTGAGTTTCTAAACTTGTTCTGTGTCATCTGCTGGCCTTTGCATGTCATCTGTAGCTTCCACAAAACTCCCAAAAAATTCCCATTTAATTCCTTATGCCAACCCAAGATATCAAAATTGCAATGGGGAAGGTCGCAATGTGGAAGGGATAACTATATAAACAGTTTTCCCCAATACTTTCAGGGCATGAGTTTCCCTATAGCATCTCAGTTCAGTGGGGGCAGGCTGGAGAGGTGGCAATAGGCTCAACTTAGCTTAGCTCCTACACCTCATCAGTCCCACCAAATTCATGCCCAAATGTAGCCTGACTGCCAGATAAATCCTTGTCTCAGATTCCACAGGCCTGTGTCCCAAAGGTCAATCCTGGGGGTCACTCCTTGCTCCTTGGGACACTGATGTTGGACAGGCTCTGGAACATTGTGATGCCAAGGTGCCCTCTGGGCCTTCTGAACTTACAGGGTTGTGGAAACTCCACTCCCTTTATCTAGAACAGGAAAAAAAAAAAGGCAGAGGGCAAGGGCCATGTCCTCAGATGGGGAGGAAGCCTCTAGGACCTTTCTCTTTACAGTCTCATCTCTCACTGGACTCTGTGAAAAAAAAAAAGTCACTGAAATTCCTCCCAAGAATTAGTGAGGAAGAGAAAGTGACTGATGCTGATCCTCCAAAAGGCTCACAGGTCTTTTTGGATGCCTCCTCTTCCCTACCTAGTTAGCAGACCTAATCCAGTTACAAAAGTCTGCACACAAAAACATGCTGCACAGTCTTCCCAAGGTACTTCCTTTACATGTCATTATGATTCTCCCAGAAACAAGCTCACTTGCCTCTTCAAGTGGAGAAACAACATCCCAGGCGTTCTGCACATACTCCAGATCCTCCTCATATTAAAAAAAAAAAATTAACATCTGTTTTTAAATCACCCTTACTCACCTCCCCCCAGCCATCTTTTATAACAAAGGTCAGCCGAAGAACCAAATTCAGCCCACTTGCCTCTTTTCTTGTCTGATTAAAATGTTTATTTTTTTAACATTTTAATTGTTTTTATTGTATTTTTTAAAATAAGTGTATTTTTAAAAAAAATTCTCAGCTTGCGGGCTGTATAAAGACTGAGCTGTATACCCTTAGGTCATTTTTTTTTTTTTTTTTTTTTTGCTAACCCCTGCCTTACAACGAAGAATTTGAAAATGAGAGGGAGAAAAAAGGGCAGTTCAGCAAATCTAACCAATAACAGCCTTAGTGCCCCGCCTCCTTAAAGAAGGGAAAGAGTGCATTTTGCATCTCTTTTCAGGACTGGCTTAGTTAACACTTGCAGGGTATTTCATTTCACTTTGGAATGGTGGTCATTCTGCTGCCTCTTTCCATTTATGTTATTGTAGTCATTGGGAGTGTTGTTGTCCGGGCTCAGCCTCCATCATTCTATCTCAGTTCATTTAAGTCTTTCCATGTTCCTCTGTATCCTTCATATTCATCATTCCTTATAGCACTGTAATATTCCTTTACCTTCAAGAACAATATTCCCCATTCAATAATGTCTATCTTTTTAAAAGCAATGTTCTACCAATCTTCTGGTTTTTATATCACTATGGAGCACGAAATCCTGGCAGTTCTCTGAAGAATGGAAACTGAGGCTCACCCCAGATAAGAATGAGGCATTACAAAGGAAGACTTGTGCCAGAGGAAGTTTCATTAAGGACACTTAATGTTAGTCGGATGACATTTAAAAAAAGATACAGCAGTGCAGCCTTTCGGACAAAAAGAAAATATAAAAGCTCTTTTTTTTTCACATACCAGATATCGAATAGAGCAACCCAAACAGAAGTGCTGGGACCTCAGAGAGGTCTTATAGAATGAATAAGATTAGGAGAAGAAAAGGAATGACATTCTTGGTGTGGGAGGTAACCAGAAGTCACAGAATGAACAATTGCCTGGAAGTGAGAATGCGCGAGGAACTTTCTAGAGATGGTGTGATGGTCTGGAACACTGGATTCACATCAGAAATCATGTTAGGCAGGTAAGGTAGGTGAGGGCAAGATTATAGAGGGCTTTGACCATCAGGCTAAGGCGTTCAGACTATATTCTGTACACAATTGAGAGTGGCATCTGGGTCAGAAGACACACATCTGTTTCCCAGGCCTTTACCAGGGCAGTTGCTGGCCCATGCTAGTCTAATTAAATCATTGTCCTTGAAATCCTGAGGAACCGTGATTAGCTTCCATTTTTAATCATTGTTGTATGTTTATTAATTTATTGCTCTCTTGGGAGTTGTTTGTTTTGACATGGTAGACTCATTTCTACAAGCACCTAAACAAACTCCTTTAAAAATATACTCTAACGGAACATTTTGCTAATCTTAAAGCTCTATATAAATGTTAGTAATGACTCTAAGCTGTTTGAGGGAAGGGATTTGGTCCTATAATTCTTCATCTTTTTCATAGTACTAAGAATAGTGCTATGTATATAGAAGGCATTAAATAAAAATGTGTTAAATTTTTTAAAAATGCTCCTTGAAAATATTAATTAACAGAGATAATGGACATGTATCCATTAACTTTGGTGATATGGTTCTAACATTGACCACTGTATTTGACTGGAGTTTTATTGACACTCCACATTGTCATTATTTGGTATAATTGTTGTGCATATTTGTTCTTTTGATTCTGTTTTCTTCATTCATTATAACTTCATAAAGGTCTTCCCATATTTCTCTGAATTCTTCATATTCATTTTTACTTATCTTATGGACCAATAATATTCCATTACATTAATCTACAATAATTTGTTGAACTCATCCTCAATCATTGGATTTGCATGTTGTTTCCAGTGTTTTGTTGTTACAAATCAGGCTTCTATGAACACAGACATATATGTGATGGGTTTTTTTCTTATTGTCAATAATCTCGTTGGGTATCATCTTAGTAGTATGATCTCTGGGTCAAAGGATATGAGCAATTTAATAACATTTCTTGCCTTATTCCAAATTACTTTCTAGAAAGGATGAACCAATTCACTATAAGCTTTTTTAATAAGGGACAAACAAATGGTGTCTGCAAAGGACTTTAGGTTTGTATCTTTAGGTCTCATTGATGAGAAATTCAAAATAGAGGCCATCTCTGTATTTTAAATGTATTCTTGTTCTAGGAAGTGGCCAGGAATCATCCCTACAACATTCACCATCATCAACAAAATTCACATCAGACCAACACTTCCGATAATAACCACTAAAAACACCCTGGGTCACCAGGCAATAGTGGAAGCAAGAGATATTATATATTTGGTGAGTGCGGGGAAATGGGCAGGTGTTTGAAAGGGAGACTGAAATTTGCTTCAATTCTACAAAAAATAATAAGGATCTTGGAGGGCTAAAGGGGTGATGATATTTATAAAGTGACTACGAGTGTTGATAATTTTTAAACAGAGACATGAATACAACATAATTTAAGGAATACAGTTATCCTTTCCATGTAGTGGGGTTAGGGGTAAGGCAGCCCTGAGACTGGGAAAATCCATGTAAAATTGTTTGGACCTCCCTTTGTGCCAGAGAAGAAGTCTGAATTATTATGGTATTAAAAGATAAAATATGTTGATATTATGCAATACTATACATATATTTTATGCATTTCTGAGTTTCCAAACTTCTTCTGTGTTGTTTTCTGACCTTCCCATGCTGTCTGTGGCTTCAGCAAAACTCCCAAAAAATTCCCATTTAATTTCTTATGCTAACCTGTGATATATCAAAACCATGATGGGGAAAGTTACAATGTGGAAGGGATAACTGTACTAACAACTAGGGGATAATAGGAAAGGCTTCCCACAGGACGTGGCACCTGAGATAAGCCTTGACAGAAGTGAAGGATTCTGAGAGGTGATAGGTAAGAGCAATTTTCCTTCCTCAATCAGGTAAGCTCAAATAAGAATTGAAATTTATCTGCATGTCCCAAGCAGAATGCCATGGGGAAAGACCAACTAGAAGCATGCTAAGCAGGTGGCTAGGGCTAAATTAGCCTGAGATCACACATTTATGACATGTTTACCACAAGAAAATAAACTATATGCCTATAACAGAGAGAGAGACAGTGTGGTATAGCAAGCAGTGTGCTAGTAAATAACTGTTTTAACAACTGGCTCTCAAGGAAAAAAATGTAGGCATGACACATTTCTGAATTTAACTTACATTGTTAGCATTTTCTCCATCACTTTCTTAAGTCTAGACAATCAAGAAAACAACAAATCAAGGCCTGTTTTACAGCATTTCTCAATTTCTGAGGTATAAATGCTCACACTGAAAATTTAAGAATCTGTCTCAGGAGCAGGTAGTGTCTGGCTCTGGCATGCCCCAGGTGTAGTGGCTAAAGAGATGACTTCAAAGACAGGAAGAGCTGGTGGGTTCAGACTCTGCTCTGAAACATACTGGTTGTGTGACCTTGGAGAAGGTACTTAACTTCTCAGTGTCCTAGAGCAGTGATGTCCAACTCAAGTAGAAATGGATCCCTGCAATCTGTATATTGTCTTAGAAAACCACAAATTAACATTTTCTATGCTATATTGCATTTTTATTTATTTTATTAAACATGTCTTAAATTACATCTTAATCTGGTTCCTGCCCCACTTGGGAGTTTTGCTGGCAGCTTGCTGGCCATGAGTTTAACCCCTCTACACTAGGTAAGAGCTCTCTAAAATTTTAAGTTGCAGAAAAGGGACCATTTTGTCTTGGGAGAGGGTTTCCTCACCTAGGCATTCTCTTTGCCAGTAAAATCACAGATCTAAACCCCATCCCTATCCCTATACATATAACAGAAAGTTGACTATACAGTATAAATCACATGCCAACCCCAGAGCAGCTCTGTCTGGGAATTTGACTACTGTACAATATAATGTAGTCATAAGAGCCCTGGACTTGGAGTCAGAAGACTGTGTGTGACTTTGAACAAATCACTTTAATCAGTCTGTCAACAAAAGTCACTATATGCCAGGTAATAGACGACAGGAAATAGAGACAAAAATCAAACTTCCCAGACTCAAGGAACTTAGATTCTCTCAGGGGAGAAACAACGTACATGTACACACACACACACACACACACACACACACACACATAATGTATGTGTATATGTATATATATAATATGTGTGTATATATATGCATAAAGCAAATAAATAAAAGGTAAGTGGATGGAGGACCAAGAAATATTTCCTGTAGAAAGCAGCATTTCAATTGTTTTAAAGGAAACAAGTAATTCAACCAGGCAAAGATGAGGAGGCAGGAGTGTATTGCAGGAATAAGGAAGAGCCAATGTAAAAGTACCAGAGATGATGTGTCCTGTGTGAGAAACAAGAAGGCTGCCAGCCTAGTTTGAATAATATATAACACAACTGGAACAGTAGTTTGGGGCCAGGTTGTAAAGGACTTTAAAATCCAACCAGAGAAGTTTATATTTGGTCCTAAAGGCAATAGGGAGCCATTAGAATATTTCAAGTATAATATATTCAAGTATGAATGACAGAGCTGAGCTTTGAGAAAATCACTTTAACTAGGTGGAGAATTAATTGGAGAGGGTAGACAAGCTAATTAGGAGGCTTTTGCAATAATCCAGGAGAAAAGTGATAAAGGACTGAACTGAGGTGGTAGTCATGAAAGTAAAGGGACAGCTACAAGAGAATTTGTAGAAGTGGAAACCATAAGATTTGGCAGCTGGTTGGCAACATTGAGTGAGGGAGAATGAAGATAAGGTTTTAGCCCCCTTGTCTGTAAAAGAAACATAATACAAATGCTTTGCTTCATAGGGTTCTTGTTAAGAATCTGCTCAGATAATACATGTCAAGTGCTTTATAAACCTTAAGACAATATACAAATGTAAGCTGCTATTGCCCTAGTTGAAATCAGAGAGCTGCATTTCCCTCTCTTGCCTTATTTTTCAGGAGTAAATTGAAAATACCCTTCCCATTACTAGTCCTATTGAGGATTCACTTCATTAACCACAAATGCAATCATTAGACTTTTTCCTTTATGCCATACTTTCAGATGCATCCTATTACATTGTTTTAACATGTGATAAACAATGAAATCTAACATTGGTACAATCTTGCTAAAAAGTTCATCTGAACAGATTTCCTTGTGTGTGTGTATGTGTGTGTGTGTAACATTTGATAGCTAAGCAAAATGTGCTGCTATAGGTATGATCAGTTATCATTACTTACATTTCTGTGTCTTGTTTATTTTCTAGTGTAGTGATTTTTTGGTGTTTTTGTTTTTGCTTTTGGTTTTGTACATATCCTTTCTTTTGTATTTATTCAAATATTTAACAGCTTGTAACTAGATGTTGAAGGAGATCAAAACAAAATTGATCTGAAAAAAATTGCAACAGTGAATCCAAAGATATTTAAGACATCATTCCTGACCTCACAGAGCATACAGTGTAGTTCATTGTATATAAGATATGTATATAAGATGATATCAGTGGGTAAATAATGTAGCTCATGAGCAGGGCAGTGTCTCAACCACGGAGGGTAGGTGATGATGTGATAATGGAGAGATAGATGGTAGAACTCTGCCCTCAAACTATTTCAAATCAGCAATTTGAAATAATAACATATTATTTATATAATGTATATAATACATAATAATTACAAGATATATAATAACATAATTTATAAGATAAGTAATTATAAAATTTGTTGAACCTGGTTAACTCTGGTTTAGATATGGCTAGACTCAGATGTCAGTTTGCTTAAAGGCAGGAGGCTGAACCAGGTGGTTCCTGTTAGGTCCCTTTCAACACAAATTATCTTTGTGTTTCAAGTTGGCATAATCCTACAAAAGGTTGTCAGGAAAACCTAACAACACAAATGCTATCTACTCTAGTATATGCAAAACCAAAATATAGTTACCTGCCATTTATGGTGAGAAGCGTGACAAACTCTTCACCATTAACATCCCAGTGCTAGGATAAAAATCCTATCCTGTAAAGATGAGGTAATAGTAGGAGCTTATGGAACTCTCAGATATCCCCATGAGATTCACTTCCCTCCCTCCCTAGACTTCCTACTCCTTCTGATTATTCCTATATGCCCTTAGGCTAATGATAGCCAACCACATGTACACAGTGGTTTGTTTGTTTGTTTTTCAGTTTACACAACAACCCCTCATGAGGAAGATAGCAATAAATGTTATTCCCCATTTTACGATGTGGAAAAGGAGGCTCAGAAAATTATATTCACTTTGCTTGGAAGTACCAGAACTATGCCTCCAAACTCCATCTCCCAACTTCAAATCTAGAGCTTTTTCTACTCTACAACACAAACTCTCAAAGTGGGGTGGAAAAAAGATTCTTCTGATGAAGGCAGTGACTGTCCATGCATTTTCCAAAATCCTACAGGGAACTTAGGACAAAAGATGTTCAGTGAATGCTAGACAAATGAATAAAAGAAAAAGAACTGACTATGGGGCCAAGCACTATGCCAAACACTGGAGATGCAAAAATAAAACAGTCCCTGCTCCCAAGTTGCTCACATTCTAATTAGAAGAGACAACATATATGGGAAAGCTTAATGCCAAGGCAAAGAAAATGGTTTTCGATGGTCCTGAGGACCACCTAGGGACCAAGTGGCAGGGCAAGTGGCAAGGCCCAAGGGTACTTAGGGTGCCATCTTTAGGTTAGATGGCAATGCTTGGGGGTCTGAATACATAGTGAGAGAGCAGATTACAAGACCTAGTGTCCCTCCATCTTCCCAGCAGGATTGTACATCATGGGGGATAGGGGTGTGGAGCCCTGGGAGCTGGAAAATTCATGTAAAAGTTTTTGGCCTTCCCTTCATACTAGACAAGTCTGAATTTTTTCATTTTCTTTTATGGGGTGTTTACAGTACCTTACTGTAAAATTTGGGTTAAATATTTGGTCATAGGCTCTGTGTCATCTACTGGCCTTCTCCTATCATCTGTGGCTTCCACAAAACTCCCCAGAAATTCCCATTTAATTTCTTATGCCAACCCTTATGCCATCAAAATCACAATGGGGAATGTCACAATGTGGAAGGAATAACTATAGTTAGTAACTCTCTGCATATCCAAGTGGTATGAAAAGCTCAGTCTGTTCAGCCATAAGGAGCCATTGGAGGGGCCAGATCCACCACCACTGGGAAGGATGGAGAGGACCCAAGGGTCAGAGTAGAGCTACCTCCTGTAGGGGTGGGAATGGAAGTTCAGTGTCCAGTTGGGAGACTGAAAGAGAAAGAAGCACTGAGAGGAAGGTTGGGGAGAGCAAGGATTTCCTCAGGTGCTCACTGCTTGCTGCCTGCTGAATAGGGTATCTAGGCTAGGGAAGCAAGCAAGCAGGGATAGGAGAGGAAAAACTGACAGGTTAGGTAAGATGGCAGTTTTCCTAATATGGGCTCTTTCCTCTGCTTTTCCTCCCCTCCAGAGATATTTGGAGAAATTACAGCTGGATCTGAACAAGATTAAGGAAGAAAAGGATATCCAGCTAACTAAAGCTGAGTGTTGGAAGGGCTGGTGGAGTCTCTCAGTAAAAACCATTAAGAGCTTATATCCATAACCCCTTTGGAGCCTTTTCTTATGTGTGTACTTAGGTTTAAGAGACTTTGAAGTTTTTGTTCTGCAAATAAAAATGGTTACACTTTGTCTTGACAGCTCTGGCCATCACTGTGCTGGGAAGGGTCATTGTTTTTTGCCTTTATCAGGTAAATTTCATGAATGGCCAGACTACAGGTGATCCTCCCTGGTGGAGCAAACACTCCCCAGCTCATCAATAGTCCAGAATTATAGATGGAAGGGACATCTGAGGACATCTAAGCTAACCCCCTGCCTTTGCAGGTGAGGAAATTGAAGTCCATAGAGATTAAGTGACTTGCCCAAGTGGTAGAGCTAAGGTATATGAACCAAGTTCCTCTAATTCTAAATTTAATATTCTTTTAATTGAGTGAATGAGAGCAACATTTTAAAAATGGAGGGGAAAGGCAATCAATAATTTTTTTTAAATTTCAGATGACAAAATTCTAGGTGGTTTTATAACAATCTTTTTATCATCCAAGGAAATGGAAAACTCCATACTTGGACTCTTAATATCACAGTCATAGATATGCTTATAGAGGAGTTATTTTTAAATGGCATTAAAGAATACCAAAAGAGGAGAAGCTTGGTGATGCAGTGGCTAGAGCAGCAGAACTGGAGTCAGGAGGACCTGAGTTCAAATCAGGCCTCAGACACTAACTGTGTGACCCTGGGCAAGTTGCTTAACCCCAGCTGCCTCCTCCTTCCCCTCCTAAAACCCAAACAAACACCCAAAGATAGGAAACTCATCTGTATTATACATAGGCTGTATAGAAATCTATGCCAGCAACAGGGTTCTGAGGACATCGAAAGATCAAATCACAAGGAGGGAAAGTTACAAGGTGTGAAAGAAAATATATTCTATTAAGAACAAAAATTGTGACCAAAAGAATATCAGCAATCACCAACCAACATACCTATTTCTCCATCTATGTAAAATATTTTAAGTATAATTATACACAGGAAGGTATTAATAGAGGACAGGTTGGCTTTTTGAAAATAATATGCTACAATAGACCCTGATCAACTGGAAAAGAGAAAATACAAAATTCCGCTCTTTGTTGAATATAAAAAGAGCATTTGATTCAGTAGAGCAAAACATCATTTTAAAGACTCTTCCAACATGCATACATCAAAACTATACAATAAACTTTGAAAGATAAAAACAAAGAAACTCCTGATCACAATCATCCTCTGCTCATCAAAAACACATGAAACAGCTCACTCAGTGGAAGCTGGTAGCACTCACAGGCTACTTTGGACGTTCTCCCTTTTTTGTACCCTTTGTTTCCCCCATTCCTGGCTCTGATTTCTATGACTAAGAGATAAACAAAAAATGGAAGAAGAAATCATGGTTCTTGCCATTGACAATGGCTCTGGCATGTACAAAACTGACTTTGCTGGGGATAATGCTCCTCAGACTGTGTTCCCCTCTATTGTTGGATGCCCAAGACACTAGGGTGTCATAGTGGAAATGGGACAGAAAGACAGTTATATTGATAATGGGGCCCAGAGCAAGAGAGGTATCTTGACTCTTAAAAATCCCAATGAACGTGGCCTTCTTACCAACTGAGATGGTAAATGGAGAAAATCTGACATCTTACCTTCTACATTGAATTTTGTGTAGCCCTGTGGAACATCCTATTCTGCTTACAGAAGCTGCTTTAAATCCCAACACCAACAGAGAAGATGACATAAATCATGATTGAGACCTTCACCTCCCTAACTATATATGTTGCTATTCAGGCTGTATCGTCTCTGCACGCCTCTGGTTGTAGCACTGATATCGTTATGGACTCTGGTGATGGTGTCACCCGCATTGTGCCCATCTATGGAGGTTATGCCCTTCCCCATGCCATCTTCCATCTAGACTTGGCAGGCTGTGACCTGACAGAATACTTTATGAAGATAATGACAGAAAGATGGTACAGCTTCACTACCATAGATGAAAAGGAAATTGTTCATGACATCAAGGAGAAGCTGTGGACTTTGCCCTGGACTTTGAGTAGCAGATGGCCACTGCTGCTGCTTTGTCTTCCCTGGAGAAGAGTTAGGAACTTCCCAATGGCCAGGTGATCACTGTTGGCAATGAGAGGTTCAGGTGTCCAGAGGCCCTCATCCAGCCATCTTTCCTGGGTATGGAATCTTGTGGCATTCATGAAACCACTTTCAACTCCATGAAGTGTGATGTTGATATCCAAAAGGATCTATATGCTAACACTGTATTGTCTGCTGGTACTAATATGTATCCTAGTATTGCTGACAAAATGCAGAAAGCAAGCATAGCTCTGACACCTAGCACAATGAAAATGAAGATCATTGCTCCCCCTGAATGTAAGTGTTCTATCTAGGTTGGTGACTCTATTCAGGCTTTTTCTGCACCTTCCAGCAGATGTAGATCAGCAAGCAGGAATATGATGAATCTTGCCCATCTATTGTCCATCACAATTGCTTCTAAGTGGACTGCTAGTAGATGCATAGCATTTGCTGCATGAGGATTCACAAAGTATACATTTGCCCTGGCAAATAATACACTTCATGTTAGCCCCATGAAGCTGGAATAAACCTTCTTTGAAAAGAAACTTGTCAGGGGGCAGCTAGGTGGCACAGTGGATAGAGCACTGGCCCTGGATTCAGGAGGACCTGAGTTCAAATCCAACCTCAGACACATTAACAGTTATTAGTTGAGTGACCCTGGGCAAGTCACTTAATCCCATTACCTAGCCAAAAAAAAGAAAGAAAGAAAAGAAAAGAAATGAAACTTGTCCTTGGGGAAGTTTTTATCTGATATTAGACAAATATTAACACTTTTTAGATGGTTGAACCATTACTGTTTTAACCTCATATTCAGTTAACAGTTGTTCTCTTGGTATAAATTTTAGCATACATGTACGTATCTTTGATCCAAATCCTAATACAGGGTCATTTCATTTTAACAGGTAAGGATAAGAGTTAACTTCTATAGAGAACTGACCTGATAATATATTATATGACCAGTTGACGGCCATTGTCTTTACAATCTAGTTCTAAAGCATCAGATTGAAGGGGGAACCAAGATGGCAAAGTAAGGCAAGAACTTACTTAAACTCTCCCCAATTCATTTCCAAACAACTATAATGCCTCAAATTGAATTCTGAAGTGGCAGAACCAACAAAAGGAGGGGATGAAACAGTTTTCCAGCCCAAGACAACTTAGAAATTTGGCAGGAAAGATCTGTCTCACTGAGATAAAAGGGAAGCACAGTCCAGTGCAGGCAGCATCCAGGCAAGCCAGCAGCAGGCTGGGTCCCAGCAAACCAGCAGCAAGACTCCATGGCCCCAACATAGGCCAGCAGCAAGGCCCCTCACCCTTGGCATAGGAAAGCAGTAAAGCCCTATGCCCCCAGCACAAGAAGCTTGGAAGTGCCCCCTCCATCCCAGAAGCAGAGCCCAATTTTAACATAAACTTAAAAGTCATGGAATAGGTTGGGGAAATGATAAGCAAAAAACAAAGAAGCAGAGCATGGAAAGTTACTATGTTGACAAGGAAGATCAAAACACAAACTCAAAAGTGGATAACATTGTCAAAACGGCTATATGTGAAGCCACCAAAAAAAAAAAGTGAATTGGCTTCAGGCCAAAAAAGAACACCTGAAGGAGCTCACAAAGGATTTTAAAAAATAAGAGAGATAGAAGAAAAATTGGGAAAAGAAATGAGAGTGATGCAAGAGAATCATGAAAAAAGAACCTATAGCTTGGCAAAGCAGGAAAAAAATGGGAAAAGATGTACCAAAATTCAATGAAGAAAACAACTTCTTAAAAATAGAACTGGCCAAATGGAAAAGGAGGTACAAAAGATTACTAAAGAAAATAATTCCTTAAAAATTAGAATTGGGTAAGTATAAGCTAATGACTCCATGAGACATCAAGAAACAATAAAATAAAATCAAAAGGATGGAAAAAATAGAAGAAAAGGTGAAACATACTATGGATGGGGGTGGGTGGGTGGAATTGATCTGGAAAATAGATCCAGGAGAGATAATTTAAGAATTATTAGACTACCTGAAAGCCATGACAAAAAAAAAAAGAGCCTGGATATCATATTTCAAGAAATTATCAAGGAAAACTGCCCTGATATCCTATAGCCAGAGAGTAAAATAGGAATTGAAAGAATCTACCAATCACCTCCTGAAAGAGATCCCAAAAACGAAAACTCCCACAGATATTATAGCCAAATTCCAGAGCTCCCAGATCAAGGAGAAAATACTACAAGCAAGCAGAAAGAAACAATTCAAATATCATGGAGCCACAGTCAGGAAGATTTAGCAGCTTCTACACTAAAGGAGTGGAGGGCTTGGAATATGATATTCCAGAAGGCAAAGGAGCTAGGATTACAACCAAGAATCACCTACCCAGTGAAACTGAATATAATCCTTCAGGGGGGAAATGGATATTCAGTGAAATAGAGGACTTTCAAGCATTCCTAATGAAAAGAACAAAGCTGAACAGAAAATGTAATTTTCACATATAAGACTCAAGAGAAGTATAAAAAGGTAAACAGGAAAGAAAACATAAGGGATTCAATAAGGTTGAACTGTTTACATTCCTACATGGCAAGAGGATATTTGTAACTCTTAAGAACATTATCTCTATTACAGCAGTTAGAAAATATATAGACAGAGGGCTCGAGTATAAGTTGACTATGATGGGATGATATCCAAAAAAAATTAAGGGGCTCGAAAGAGGATTACACTGGGAGAAGAGGGAAGGGATCAGTAGAATAGGGTAAATTGTCTCAGATGAATAGGTGCAAAAGACTTATTACCATGGTGAGAAGATGGGGAGGGCAGGGGGGCAGGTAACATTAGAACCTTACTCTCATCAGAATTGGCTCAAAGAGGGAATAACATACACACTCAGTTGGGTATGGAAATCTGGAGGGGAGAGAGATCAGAGAAGGGGGGCAGACACTGATAGAAGGGAAGTGGTGATCAGAAGCAAAACACTTGTGAGAAGGGACAGGGCAAAAGGAGAGAGGGAGAAGGATAAACGGGAAAAATAGGATTGAGAGAAATACACA